AGCATCGTTACCCTCAACTGACTGAGCCCCCCAGGTGCCTCTTCCCTGAACTTTTTTTTTTTTTTTTTAGTTTTATTTATTTATTTGACAGAGAGAGACACAGTGAGAGAGGGAACACAAGCAGGGGGAGTGGGAGAGGGAGAAGCAGGCTTCCCGCTGAGCCGGGAGCCCGATGCGGGGCTCGATCCCAGGACCCTGGGACCATGATCTGAGCCGAAGGCAGCCACTTAATGACTGAGCCACCCAGGAGCCCCCAAACTTTTTTTTTTTTTTAAGATTTTATTTATTTGAGAGAGAGAATGAGAGAGCGAAGTGGGGGGAGGGGCAGAGGGAGAGGGATGAGCGGACCCCCACTGAGCAGGGCTTGATCCTAGGACCCTGGGATCATGACCGGAGCTGAAGTCAGACACTTAACCAACTGAGCCATCCAGGCGCCCCTTCCTGGACTATTTAAAGCACATCCCAGATGCCATATCACTTTAACAGTAAATGCTTCTGCACATGACTCTAACAGATAAGGATGTTTATAAGACCAGCCCCAACACCATTATCACACCTAACAAATTAATGATAATTCCTCAGTACTTTTTAGTCCCCAGTCCCTGTTTGATTGTCCCCAGCTGTCCAGGCGTCCTCTCAAGGCCCTTGCGTTTCATAGTGGGAAGGCGAATTGGAAGGGGTCTCTGGAAGGGAAGGCTCTGGCTAGGGCCGAGGGGTCCGGATCCTCACGAGCTCCTGTTTGGTCTGTTTCAGGAACAAATGTGGTATCTGGGGCTGGCGGTCTGAGAAGATGGAAACCGTTAGCGGCTACGAGGCCAAGGCAGGAGAGGCTAGTGGTGGGGGCTGGGGTAGGAGACAAGGCCCAGGAACTCCACTGCTTCTCCACACCCACCCATGTGGAGGAGAGACAGAGTAGCCCGTGGGCTCTGGAAGCCCCGTGTGGCCATGGGAACTCAGGGGGGCCCGAGTGCCCAGGCCCCGCCGAGCACATAGGGATCACCCCAGCACGGGCCCCGACTCGGGTTACCGAGATGACACGAGGAGCGCTTTCCCCTCATGACTGAGCCCCCATGGTTCAGACCCTGCCACCTCCTCCAAAGTGGGGGGCGAGATCCTGTCTGTCCCTGCAGAGAGGAGGACGTGGGTCCTGTACTGGTGAGGCTGAGTGTGGGAAACAGGCTCTGAGCCCTCAGCTCCCCCCGTGTCCCTCCTGCTCCCCAGGTATACAGTGCCACCAATGTGGAGCTGGTGACACGCACTCGCACGGAGCACCTCTCTGATCAGGACAAGTCGAGGAGCAAAGGTAAACCGAGGTGCGCCTGCCTGCTGCCCAGTCACACCATATGCTGGGGTTACCCTGGTCTGGGGTTAGGGCCACAATGTCTGGGACAAGCTGGGAGGCCTCCCCATTCCCATGTGCTCTGTCTCCCACCCGACAGGAGGCTCCCAGAGTGGACAGGGGGGCAGTCTGGGGGCAGTGGCCCAAAGTCTCCTCATGGGCTCCCACCCTTTCTCCTTAGGAGGGAAGACTCCATTCCAGTCCTTCCTCGGGATGGCCCAGCAGCACTCCTCCCACAGCGGGGTGAGCCAGGCCCCCAGGTGGGGGGGTCACGGGCAGGGGGCCGGTGGGCAGGGCCAGGCAGGCACCCTCCTGAGCACTAAGTCTGTTCATGGGGCCCTCCCAGGCTCCTGTGCAGCAGGCCGCCAGCCCCACCAACCCCACAGCCATTTCCCCCAGTGAATACTTCGATCCCAACTTCAGCCTGGAGTCGAGGAACATTGGCCGCCCCATTGAGATGTCCAGCAAAGTACAGAGGTGAGGTCTTGGAGCTGGCTTTGGGACTTCCCTCAGGGACGGGGACCCTGCCTGGTCCCCCTGAGCCCTTGCAGACTCCTGTCACACTTGGGGCCCGCCAGAGTGGGGGACCCACTCACCCAGCTGGCTTCCTGCTAGATGCTCCTCCTTGGGTCCAGGAGCCAGGTCTGTCTTATCCGTGGTTATTGGCACCAGCTCGGGGGCTTGGCCCAGAGGACTGGTTACTCTTGTCTGGTGAATGAATGAATGGGCAGCACCGCCCATTTATGGCTTTCTGTTCAATTGAATGAGCACCTGCTGGAGGCCAGCTTATGGCAAAGGGGAAGGGCTCACAGCGCTGCCATCTCCTGACTCTGTGGCCCCAGGAAATGTCTTCCCCTCTGAGAGTCTGTTCTCCTCAGTAAAATAACAGTCACACTTGTCCCCCTGCTCACAAGGGCACTGGGAGGATCTGATGAGCCATGACATAGAGCTCACGGTGGGCCCAGCACTGTCCAGGGACCACAGGTAGACTCCGCATCCAGACGAATTGAGGCTACCATAGGCCCCAGCCTGGGCCCAGGGTCTGGGGGGCAGCTCGGGCAGTAGGGCCAGAAGGACACACGCTCCTGGGGAAGGCAGGCGGGACAGCTGAGCAGACAAGAGGGCAACGCAGTCTTGGCAGAGAGTGTGAGTAAAGGCAGGTGTCCAGGCTGGGTGGGTCTTAACAGAGGGGCCGCCAGAGGTTCCTTGACTCACGTCCTGTGCAGGTTCAAGGCCACGCTTTGGCTGAGTGAGGAGCACCCGCTCTCCCTGGGTGACCAGGTGACGCCCATCATTGACCTGATGGCTATCAGCAACGCTCACTTTGCCAAGCTGCGTGACTTCATCACCCTGCGCCTTCCCCCTGGCTTCCCAGTCAAGATTGGTGAGGGGTGGCCTGGGGCACTGGGGGCCCTTGGGCAGCTCCTGGGGACGGGGGCCGGCTGCTGGCCCCGGTGGCTCAGGCCCGCTGTCTCCTCGCAGAGATTCCCCTTTTCCACGTGCTCAATGCCCGCATCACCTTCAGCAACCTGTGTGGCTGTGACGAGCCCCTGAGCTCAGTGTGGGTGCCGGCCCCTGGCCCTGGCGGCCCAGCCTCAGGTACCGCGGCAGGGAGGCGGGCTGCGCCGCTCCCTGGTCCCCGAGCCCCGGGGCTGAGCGTGGCCCTTCTCCTGCGCAGGGAGCCCTTTCCCGTGTGAAGTGGATCCCGCTGTGTTTGAGGTGCCCGAGGGGTACAGCGTGCTGGGCACAGAGCGCAGCGAGCCCCTTCGCGACGAGGATGACGACCTGCTCCAGTTTGCCATCCGGCAGAGCCTGCTGGAGGCAGGCGCGGAGGCCGAGCAGGTGGGACGCGGGCAGGGGCCGGCCCGCCTGGGTGCTGGCAAGGGTGGCAGGCGTGACAGCTCCGGGCTTCGTCTGCTGCAGGTGACAGTCTGGGAGGCCCTGACCAACACCCGGCCTGGTGCCCACCCTCTTCCCCAGGCCACCACTTATGAGGAGCAGCTTCAGCTGGAGCGGTGAGGCCCTCTAGGACCTACTAGGACAGTGTCTCAGCCTGCCCTGCCCCGAGGACCCTGCCAGCCAGGGGGTCCTTGGCTGGTGGCGGCGGGTAGTGGGGAGGCACTAGGCCCGGGATCCCATGCCCTCTCCAAGGCCACCTTCCATAAGCAGCGCTGCCTACCACTGAAGGCAGCGTGAGGATGGGGGAGACGGGGCCCCTCGCCTTGTCTCTTTTCTCTGGTCTTCTGGGTCCCAGCCACCCTGTCCTTGCCCTTGTCCTCCATAGCCATGATCCTGCCCTTAGCCTTCTTCCCCAGCCTGAGCGCTCACTGGTCTGCCCTTCCTCTCACGCCTTGTCTGGAAGGGCCCTCCAAGAAAGCCTGCGGATGTCCACAGAGCCCAACGGCCCAGAATCCCCTCACAGGACCCCCCCGGCCCCAGCCCCCTCAAGCTTTGAGGAGCAGCTTCGCCTGGCCCTGGAGTTGTCTTCGAGGGAGCACGAGGAGCAGGAACGACGGGGGCAGCAGGAGGAGGAGGACTTACAGAGGATCCTGCAGCTCTCGCTCACAGAGCACTGAGCACCCGGCCCCTGGGAGGGCTGTCTGGGCTGCTGCCCCACCTGCTTTTGTAACTTATTTATTTATAAACTCTCTGCTGCTAAGCTTGGGGCCTGGAGCCCTGGAGGTGGACTTGCGTTGGAGACCTAGGTGGAAATAAAGAGACTTTGAGCAGCAGGCTTATTCTGCTCAATGGGGAGACAAGGTGGGGAGGGGACATTGAGGGTGGACGCTGTGGGCAATGGCTGCAGACCTGGGTTTGAATCCTGGCTGTAGCCCTTTCAGTTTCTCCGAGCCTCAGTTTCCTCAGCTGTAAAATGAGACCGCCTCCCACTCCCCAGGGCTGTTGGGAGGGTGAAATGAACCCACATATGTCAAGTCCCTTACAGAGTAGGTGCTCCATTAACATCAATTCCCTGGAGTCCTCCTGTGACTCACTGGGTCTTTACCAGAACCCACCTGTGCTCCTGTCTGAGAGGGGGAAAGGCTGGGCCTCCAGACTACTGCCAGCCATCTGGGAGGAGCCCCCTGCACACCAGGCCTGGATTCCTGCACTGACTCCAGCATGTTCTATCCCAGTGATTTGGACAAGTCACTTCCCTCTGCTGCAGCTCTGCCCTGCGCACCTCCAAGGTGGCCCTGAGGGTCCCCTGTGAGCTACAGGGGTCAGTTCTAAATCCCGCCTGATTTCCCCTGAAGCTCTGCATGTCTCCCAAGGATTCGTGCAGAAGGGCCAATCAGCAAGGAGAAATAATTTTGGGGTCCCCCCCAACTTAAGACTGTGTCTGATCCTTTCCAAGACCTGTGTCCCCAGTCCTGCTTCCCTAGGTCTCAACTCTTCTAGGTAGTAGTAGCACGGTTGAGGCCCAAAGCAGAACTCAGGTGACCTAAGTGGGCGGAGCCGGGAGGGCAGGGGCAGGGGCGCCTCCCCGGAGGAGGGACCCAACCCGGGAACGAAGGCTGCAAGTTGCAGGACCTCCGGACACTTCCCTCCCGGCCGCGCTCCGCACCTGCGCCCCGCCCCGGGTCCGCCCCCAACGTGTCCGGGGGCGGGGGCGAGGCGGCCGAACCGGAGGAGACGCGAAGGGAGGGGCGGCAGCCGCTTCGCGCTGGCTCCGCAGGCCCGGCTGGACGAGTGTCTGGCCCTTTAAGGGCCGCCCCCGAGGAGGTGCCAGGCCCTGGTGGCTCCGGTCTCTCCTTCCTGGTCCTGCGGGGCAGGGACTGTCCGTAGAGCTGTGGGAGGGCAAAGTGCCCGCACCGGCCCAGGTGTCCCCGGCCAGGCCCCATGGCCCTGGTCACCGTGAGCCGCTCCCCCCCGACCAGCGGCCACTCCACGCCTGTGGGGCCCACGGTAAGTCTGGCTTTGCCGTGGTCCGGCCCACGCAGTTGGCTGCCAGCTGCGCCTGGGGGAGCGCGTCCTGCCCACGGCCAGTCTCCCCAGCCTGGGGGTGCGGGGAGGGGGACCCCAAGTATCACGCTGGAGGGGATTGGGAGGGGGTCTTGAGGCTCCCAGGAACTCAGACCAAAGATCTGGAACCCCGAAGCGCCAGCCCAGACTGCAGAGGCCCTACCCACTTCCAGGCCCAGATCTGGGCCAACCCCTTGGACACCTCCAGCACCCCCACCCACTCTCACCCCACGCTGCCCCACCTGGACCTGGGCCCAGGCTCCCCCAGTGCCTCCGGGTGCGGAGTGGACTGGGGTGGGAAGGGACCTGACACCTTTCCTGGTTCCAGTCCCCAGTTGGGAGGGGGGGCGATGGCACCCTGAGAGCAGAGAGGAGAGTCCTTGCCACTGCCCGCCTCACCCTGCCCTGGGGGCTGCTTTCTCAGCAGGACCAGGCATCCAAGCGGGGAAGCCGGCTCCAGCGAAGGTGAGCGCCTCTCCCCAACACAGACACCCACATCCAGCTGCCAGGCCTGGCCACTGCCACCCTGGAGGACTCGCAGCCACAGCCAACTCCTGAATCTGTGGGCGGTGTTGCCAGTGGGCACGGCTGGTGGGCGCAGTTGGCTTGCAGCACTGACTTGGCTGCCTTTGCTTCCATCTTCCCCCTGGTCACCACCATCGTGGACCCTGGCTCAGGCCCGTAGTCACAAACCAAAGGGCAGGTTGAGACAATAGGGCCCGAGGACTCCTGGGGTCACCACCAAGTTTACAGCATCTCCTGAGTTAGGCAGGTACGAAGGAAAGGGAGCAACCCTTGCCCGCCCCCAACCCTTAGACAAGTGGGTTGAGGGCTTGAGAGCCTCCAAGACTGTAGTTCCCCAAATGGGCTGGCCTCAGCACTTGGGAACCGGCTAGAAATGCACATTCTCAGGCCTCCACTCCAGACCTACTGACTCTCCAGGGATGGCGCCCAAACCCCGTTTTAACAAGCCTGGTAGGTGATTTGGATGCACCTGTCCTAGGGGTATGAGGGACCCTGATGGCTTCCCTGCTGCCCTGCCAGGCAGAGCTTCGCAGTCCTTCGCGGGGCTGTCCTGAGACTGCAGGATGGAGAGGACGAGGGAGAAGCAGCTGAGGCTGGCCCCGAGGTGGTGGAGAGACCCCCAGGTGAAGAACGGCCCCACGGGGACCAGACGGATGATGGGCATGGGCCCCAGAGCCCCAGGAAGCAGGAGCAGAGCCAGCACCTGCATCTCATGGTGGAGTTGCTGAGGCCGCAGGACGACATCCGCCTGGTGAGGGGCGGCCCAGAGCCCCCTGAGAAGCGGGGAGAGCCCGCCCTTGGGTGGGTGGGGGGGCAGGATGGAAGAGAGCTAGCCCGTGTGTCTGAGTGGGGAGCAGTAATATGAACCCCCAAGCCCTGGTGAGCCTGCCGGCTCAGCTAGTCGTTTTGACAGGGCACAGTCAAGTCTTCAGGGCTCTGGCGGTGTGGGAAACGGTGGCAGGAGGTCTGTCCTGCTTGAGCCCATAGGGCCAGATTAGGGCCGAGAGCTGGCCGTTACACAGAGACGGGGTTCTGTGCAACCCGCGCAAGCCCTTCCTGACCCCGCGAGCTGTCTGCCTACTGAAGGCCTGGCCTGGCGCTCAGGAGGGCCTGCTGAGCCGGAGGGGGCCCAGGCGCCATGGGGCACAGGTGAGAGCTTGAGGACCAGCTCCCAGATGCCTGTGGGGCACCTCCTTGTCTGCCGCAAGATGGGAAAAACAAAAGCAGGTGGTCTCTCTAAAGCTGGATTTATTCCACTGAAATACCATCCTTCATTGTGGGATCGAGTCCTTAGTATTTCTCGGGTGAGAAACCTTTCTTGAATCCAGTGATGGTGATGGCAAGTGGAAAGGTTTTTTTCTAAGCCTCCTTCCTAGGCAGAAATTGAAAACGGGCAATCTGTGTCAGGCCCATTCTCCCCTTTTTTCCACACATACCCCCTTTAAGAAAAATCTTCTTAAACATTTTGTGGGACCGTGAAATCCACAAGTGGGGAACCATCAGATTATAACCACCAATCTGGTGTCTGAGAAGAGGAGGGCGGGCAGCACGTCTGTTCTAGGCCCAGGACTGTGTCAGGCGGGGGTGGGGGGTGCAGGGTCTTCTGGGGCCACTGTGACCCTGGGCTTCTCCCTCCTTATCTCCCCCAGGCAGCCCAGCTGGAAGCAGCCCGGCCCCCCCGGCTCCGCTACCTGCTGGTAGTTTCCACACGAGAACACCTGAGCCGAGAACACCTGAGCCGGGATGAGACTGTCCTCCTGGGGGTGGACTTCCCCGATAGCAGGTGGGAGCAGGGAGAGGAAGGGGGGTGGGGGCGAGGAAGTGAGATGCTGGGGGACAGTGGCTTTTCTTCTGTCCCCTGCCAGTTCCCCCAGCTGCACCCTGGGCCTGGTCTTGCCTCTCTGGAGTGACACCCAGGTGTACCTAGATGGAGATGGGTAAGAGGTGGCAGCTAGGGGGAGGAGAGAGGGGAGGGGTGGGGCCAGCGGGGCGATGTGTATGATGGGGCAGCTGGGCACTGGGGAGCCGTGGGAGAACTCTGGGCTGGGCATCTGGCGCCTGGGCCTGCTCAGCTCTATCTCTGGTTTGCTGTGTGAACCTAGGCAAGTCACCCAGCTTCTCTGGGCCTCAGCTACCCCACATCTGGCAAATGGGGCTTGTCTTGAAGCCCAGGGATGTGCGTACATTCTGTGGAGCAGCCTCACGAGGTAGCTAGTGGCTTGGCCTCTCAGGGGCTCTGTGCCAGAGCCTGGAGTTGGGTTCTACCCCCGCCCGATCTCCCTCAGGGGCTTCAGCGTGACGTCTGGTGGGCAGAGCCGGATCTTCAAGCCCATCTCCATCCAGACCATGTGGTAAGGGTCAGGGTGGCCCGTCCTCTTCTCAGGGATGGCTGAGGGGCTGGGGAGGGGTGGCAGGGAGGCCAGTGTGATCCAGCCTCTCCCCTGTCCTAGGGCCACACTCCAGGTGCTACACCAGGCATGTGAGGCGGCCCTCGGCAGTGGCCTTGTGCCGGGGGGCAGTGCCCTGACCTGGGCTGGACACTATCAGGACAGACTGAGCTCCGACCAGAGCTGCCTCAACGAGTGGATGGCCATGGCCGACCTGGAGTCTCTGCGGCCTCCCAGCGCCAAGCCTGGCCGGTCAGTGCAGGGAGGGGAGGAGAGGGAGGGTGTCGCAGCAGAGTGGGGAAGGCGTCCCTGGACTGACGGGCTCGGCTCCCAGGCCCTCAGAACAGGAGCAGATGGAGCAGGCGATCCGGGCTGAGCTGTGGGATGTGCTGGACACCAGTGACCTGGAGAGCGTCACTTCCAAAGAGGTGGGCTGGGGGGCGCCCGGCTGGCTCGGTCAGTAGAGCAGGTGACCCTTGGTCTCGGGGTCATGAGTTCAAGCCCCACCTTGGGCGTGGGGCTTACTTTAAAAAAAAAAACAACCAAAAACACAGAAAACCCAAAGAGGTGGGCTGGTGCTGGGGAGGAGCAGGGGTGAGGAGGGAGCTGGGCCCCGGGTGGGGGGTGGGGGGGCGGTCCTCCACCTGGGGCAGAGCTTTCCTCTCTTTCTTCCCACCTTGCTTGCCTCCTGCCCTGAGCCAGGCCCCCACGCCTGGCTCAGCTCCTCTGTCCAGATGGGACGGGTGCGCCCTCTGAGGCCCCAGAGGGAAGGGTCGGGCATCAGGACACTCGCAAGGGACCCCCTGAGCCTCGGCGCCCCTGTGGCTCTGCCTGCAGATCCGCCAGGCCCTGGAGTTGCGCCTGGGCCGGCCGCTGGAACAGTACCGCGACTTCATCGACAACCAGATGCTGTTGCTCATGGCCCAGCAAGATCGCGCCTCCCGCATCTTCCCCCACCTCTACCTGGTGAGCAGCAGCTGGAGGGGTGGGGGGGCGGGGCGACGCTGCAGCTGGGGGGACGGAGGATGATGCTCCCCTCCCTCCGCAGGGCTCAGAGTGGAATGCGGCGAACCTGGAGGAGCTACAGAGAAACAGGTAGGGCTCTGAGCCCCTCAGGGCTGCCCACCCTCTGTCTCCCCGCTTCACTTGGCCTCCCCCGCAAGGGGCAACCTGGCCAGAAGCCCCCAGGCCCCCCTGAAGGGCTGCTAGCTCCGCTTCCCATCCCGCCTCTGGGGCTGCTCCCCCTGCAAGGCCTCCCCGGGCCCACTCGCCCTCCCCACGCTGTAAAGCAAGGCCTGGACCCAGGGCCTCAGTCTCACGGAGAAGAGGGGTGGCCGCGGGCGTCCCGCTGGCCTGTCCCAAGCAGGAAAGCTCCTCTCCACTGACCGCGTCGCAAGGGAGAAGCGTGTGCCCCTCTCCCGGGGGACCTGGCCACCTGCTCTCCTAGGTTCCTGCCATTTGTCCACCGTGGGCTTCCAGGAAACCCGCTGTGGCCCCCGTCACCCCAGCTCCGCCGCAGATCCACGTGGTCTCAGCTTCGCTCAAAGCTGTTCTCTGACTTATACTAGAAGGCTCAGCACTGCAGTCAGCCGAGCCGCTGGCTGGACCAGAGGGGACAACTCCAGTGCGGCAGGGCGACAGGATTCACTCAGGGTCACGCCATCTCCCCCCCCCCCCACCCCGCCTGACTCTCCGAACCAGCCAGGCTCTGCCGGGTCTGCTGGCCAATGGGCCTCCCGTCCCCCCACCGGCCACGTCAGCCAGGCCTCCCGCCCTCTGCTGCAGGGTCAGCCACATCTTGAACATGGCCCGCGAGATTGACAACTTCTACCCGGAGCGCTTCATCTACCACAACGTGCGCCTCTGGGACGAGGAGTCAGCCCAGCTGCTACCCCACTGGAAGGAGACACACCGCTTCGTGGAGGCCGCAAGGTTGGGGCGCCCCCGGCCCCCCCACCCCCCGGCTCACCCCACCCCAGCTTCATCCTGCCGGCTTTGCCCTCAGCTCTAGGACTCCTCCTGGCCTTGCCCCGCTCCTCTGCTCTGGGTGGAGCACTACCCGCCCTTCCCCCACACTGACGGGGGCAGGGAGGGGGCGGGCGGGGGAGCTGACCGTGCGGCCTCCACAGAGCCCAGGGCACCCGGGCGCTGGTGCACTGCAAGATGGGCGTCAGCCGCTCAGCTGCCACGGTGGTCGCTTACGCCATGAAGCAGTACGGCTGGGGCCTGGAGCAGGCCCTGCGCCACGTTCAGGAGCTCCGGCCCATCGCCCGCCCCAACCCTGGCTTTCTGCGCCAGCTGCAGACCTACCAGGGCATCCTGACCGCCAGGTTCGAGGGGGAGACGAGGGGAAGCGAGTAGGTGGGTGCCGAGGCTGGGGTGGCTGCTGGGTCCCTCAAAGCTGACCCAGGGCTACCTCCTTACAGCCGGCAGAGCCATCTCTGGGAGCAGAAAGCGGGTGGGGCCTCCCCAGAGGAGCCCCTCGCCCCCGATGTCTCTACACCTTCCCCACCGCTTCCGCCAGAGCCAGGGGGCAGGGCGGAGATGGAGGCTATGGGTTTGGAGGAGAGCCAGGCAGCCCCGACAGAAGAGCCTGGACCACGGCCCCGCATCAACCTCCGAGGGGTCATGAGGTCCATCAGCCTCCTGGAGCCTTCCTCGGAGCTGGAAGGCGCCTCAGGGGCCAGTGACCTGCCAGAGGTGAGGCTGGGGCCAGGGAAGAGGCACAGCGGGGGACAAAAGTAGGAGCGGCAGATGGGAGGAAGGAGAGAGATCAGGACGGGTGCTCGGCTTCCCATGGGGACCACTTCCTGGGCGGCTCCGTTTCGTCCCCTCAAAGCGGCCAAGGAGACCCAGTGGGGGCCAGTGAGCGCTGTCCTTCATGGGAGCTGGAGAGCAGTCATGGGCCAGGGGCATCCGCGGGGGCTTCTGGGCCGAGCCAGCCCTGGGCTGGAGGCTGCGGGCATGCTCAGCCTGATGAAAGCACTTGCTTCCTAAGGGGCAGGGCTGCCCAGCCATCCTCCGCAGGCCAGGAGCTGGACGACCAACTGCTGACCCTAGATGAGGTGGACGAGATGACCTCTGCAGCCCCTCCCAAGTCTGGGGGGCAAGTGACCCACCAGAGGATGGGGTGCAGAGGGGTCATGGCACCCACACAACCAAGTACTGGCCTGAGCAGTTGAGCATCATCTCCGTGCTAAGTGCTGCAGGGCATGAGCAGAAGAGAGGCTGGCCTTTGCCTTAGGAAGCCAGACGCCACCCCGCTCTAAACACACACGCGCGCGCGCACACACACACACGCACACAGGAGACTTGAGGCCAGAGCTCGTCTGGGAGGGCCGGAACGCTTGGGAGAGGCTTCCTGGAGGAGGTGGCACTGGGTATGGATGGTTGGTGGGTGAGTGTGGATGTTTCTAAAGGCAGAGTGTCTTCATGTGGCTCCCGGCTCAGAGCCCAGCTCCTGGAAGGCTCTCAGGACTGACTGTACAGAGGCAGAGGGGGCAAGAGGAGGAGGAGGGGGCCCCAAGGATGTGGCAGGTGCGGGGAGGCTCAGGAGGGCTTGTGGGGCTAGGAGGTTGTAGACAAGTGAATGCCGAGGAGCAGGGACAGTGGGGCCGGGGTGTTGTCTGCTCTCCTGTGGAAATGTGACCCTCGAGCAGCCCAGTGTCTCTGCATTCACTTACCAGCCCACACCTGCCCCTTTCCAGACTCTGTGCTCAGTGCCCCTGCCCTGGAAAGACTTCTCAGTGATCCTTCTACTCTGACCCCGCCAGGTGTTTTCTTCAGAGGAAGACCCTCCAGAGACCCTCCCTCAGCTCTCAAAGGCCAAGGGAGGCCGGCGGGGCCACAAGGGGCCTTGGCCTGCCCTGAAGTCCCGCCAGTCTGTGGTCGCCCTCAACAGCGCTGCCCTGGTGGCCAGCCGGACCCAGGCCTTCCAGGAGCAGGGCGGGGCTGGCTGCGCCTCCACACCCAGGCTCCGGGGGAAGGTGGTGAGGCAGGCCAGCGTGGATGGCAGTGAGGAGGAGGGCGAGGCCTGAGCCCCCACACGTGCCCCTGGCCCCCAGATACAAATGGAGGGGCGGCACACAGCTCCTGGGACGAGCACCCTTCACTCCTGCCAACCTGTGCACATTCCTTTTAGCTCCTCCCCAGGTGGCCCCAAGACTCCATCACTACAGCCTCGGCTGCTGCAGCCTTAAGTCTCGGACATGTCCTCCTTTCCAAGGGCTCAAGACCTTCTCTGTCTATAATGGGGATGTGACCGGGAGACTGAAGATACCTTTGGGGGCAAGAACACCTTGCTTCGTTCTCAGTTGCTGCCGGGAACATTCACTTGCATCCACAGAATAAAAGTTTCCCAGTGCAGAAAGGCTTCTGCTCCCTCCCTCACCCCCTCCCATCTGCCTCACCCCTGCGCCCTTCGTTCCCGGGGTCTGCTCGGCCAGGGACCCGGTGGCCCTTAAGGGCCGAGAGTAACCTCGGTCCCCAGACCCGGAGGCTCTGAGGAGCAGGGAGCTGGCCCACAGGCGGGGCTGGCGGGTCGGCCTCCCTCCCCCACGCCACAACCTGCCCATCTTTTGCTGCTGCCCCGCCCCCCGCCCCCCACCCCTCCCCCACAGCACTGCGTTGGGTCACAAGACACCAGGCCAAAGAGAGTCTCCTTTTTGTCCTTTACAGCCTCTGGCCAGTTTTTCACAGTCTTAATAGTGTCTGGCTTTGTACTTAGAAATAAAAAACATTTTCATATTATTTTCACTTTTATGATAAAGCCGTCTGCCTGTGAGTCTGATCCTTCTCTGGTTACCCGAGGAGTCTGGTCTCTCCTAGCCTGTCTGGTCTCCTCACAGCTCCCAGGTGTCTTGTGACAGGCCTGTTTGGGGGAGTGGTGGGTTTGGGGTGGAGTGGAAGAATGGGGAAGAGAAGAGGGGAGACCAGTGCTATCTCCCTCATCTCCTAGGGCAGGGCCTGGGTAAATGTTAGCTGCCCACGTGCCCCTCAGGCAGGTTGGCAGGGGGCGGGCAAGCCTACACTGGGCAGCAGGTGCTTGGCTCTGTTGGGACAGCTGAAGGGAGTTACCCAGGAGGAAGTGGGAGCTGCCAACGCCTATCTGACAGGACCAAGCCTGTTCCAGAAGCTAAGGCTCATTTTGGACACTTGATGACAGTTCTCGAGCACATTTTGGGTCCCAAGAATCTTCCTCCTGCCACAATGCAACAGAGCCTGATTTTCCAAGCCAGCCCATCACCGCCAAGGAAGCAGGCCCCTCAATGGGCCCTCCCCCTCTAGGTACAGGTTCCTTTTGGTCAGGTTTAGTGTTCAAGAAGAGTAAGTGGGCCCATCTTTGTCACTTCTGTCCCCTCCTTCCTTCAAAGCCAACTCAGAGGTAGGAGTTGGCACCAAATATTCTCATTGATGGAGAACTCGTACCCATTTTAAGGGCATTTTTCATCCAGACCCTGGTGGGACCCCAGCACTGCTCTAGCCCTGGGGTACCAAGGGGGCAGGGAGCCTGGGTTCTAGCCCTGGCTTTGCCACTTAGAAATTACTCCACCTCCAGTCTCTGTTTCCTTCTATAAAACAAAAGGATTAGACCAGGAAATCTCTAAGTGCCCCCCTTCCTGCTTTGATAGTTCAACAATATATGTCCTCCATACACTGATAGAATTCACCCTCAACGTGTTCTCTAGAAGAGGAAGCATTTATATCTATCTGTGGGTGACATGCCTAGGGTCACAGGCAGGGTCCAGAGAAGCCAGTCTGATTCTTGGTCCACTTGGCTGGTCCACCCTTCTGAGCAAACAGGGGGGCTGCCTGCCATCCTACAGCCAGCCCTGAGTCCCACCCAGACTGCCCTTTCAGTGGTCCTAAGCCATGCTAGGGGCAGGTAGGGTGATAGGAGGGAAGCCAAAGCCAGGCCCTGCCCTCCTGCAGCCTCTGCAGCTGGGAAGGGGGTTCCTATCATGAACTCTGAGCTCTGGGGCTAACCAGAATCTGTGGAGGACTCTTGAGAAGTAAGAATTCAGCACCTGGGAAAACAAAAACTGGAGGGGAAACTGCATCAAAAATGCAGACAGGGGCACCTGGCTGGCTCAGTCAGTAGAGTATCTGACTCTCGATCTCAGGGTGGTAAGTTCAAGCCCCACATTGGGTGTAGAGATTACTTGGAAAAAATGCAGACTAATGATTAAGAAACACACACACAGCTCACGCAAATTGCTAAAGGGGGAGAAGAAAAAGTATGTGTCCCTTTGATCTTATTTTCCAATCCTTCATAGGCAACCACTGTTACTGCTTCTTCCGAGTCCCTCCAAAGACATTCCATGCTTCTGTCATCAAATATATTTATTCTTTTAAAAACATAAATTAGGGGCGCCTGGGTGGCTCAGTTGGTTAAGCGACTGCCTTCGGCTCGGGTCATGATCCCGGAGTCCCGGGATCGAGTCCCGCATCGGGCTCCCTGCTCGGCCGGGAGTCTGCTTCTCCCTCTGACCCTCCTCCCTCTCATGCTATCTGTCTCTCATTCTCTCTGTCTCAAATAAATGAATAAAATCTTTAAAAAATAAAATAAATAAAATAAATAAAAACATAAATTATACTCTATTAACATTCTGCACTTTGAAAAATTTTTTCATAGCACAAAGAGTTGCTTATCAATTCAGGAAGCTCTGCCTAATTTCTACAATAATCATACATATTCTTTTTCTTTAAGATTTTATTTATTTGAGCGGCGGGGGGGGAGAGCACAGAGAGTGAGAGGGAAGAGCAGACTCCCTGCTGAGCAGAGAGCTTGACGTGGGGCTCTAGCCCAGGACCCTGAGATCGTGACCTGAGCTGAAGGCAGACACTTAACCTGCTGAGCACCCAGGCGCCCCAATACATGTTCTCTTCTATGGACTCCACTATTTTATTTAAGCAGTCATCTACTGATGAACATTTAGGTTGTTTATGAAATTTTTTCTCATTCCAAGTAATGCTTAAGTGCTCATACATACTTTCTTGTGCACACATGGCCACGAAACCTGTAGAACGGCTGAAGCAAAGCCTATTTGCATTTAATTTTGAAAGGCATTGCTTCATTTCCTTCCAAGAAGTTGCACCAACGTACAGCAAAGGGGAATGCCTGTTTATGTCCGGCACGCAATGTCCTTTCCATCGAACCCTGTAACACTCCCAGGAGAAAGAGCAGGCATTATCATTGCCTTTTTGGAAACGGGAAACTGAGGCTCAGAGAAGTCACGGAGCCTCTGATGAGGCCTCAAATAGGTCCCAAGCTTCTAGATCTCAGCCCGGAGGCCTACCTCGACGGACAGGGCGGCTCCCAGGCTGGCTCGCCCGGATCCACCAGTTCTGCCCCAGGCCGGCCGGAGGGAGGGGCGGGACGACCCCCGCGCCCGGAATCCCAAGTCGGCCCCCAGCCGGGGCAGGAGTCTCTCCGGCGCCGGGCCGCCCGCCCAGCCCGGACGTGAACCCTCGTGCCACGAGGAGCTCGCGTCCCTCGCACAGCAGGTGCCTCCTAGGTCAGCGCCCACCTTCACCGGGTCCTCCCTCCGCCGGGCCCGGGTCGGCCGGGCTTGGACCCGCCCCGAGCCAGGGCGGCCCCTCCTCAGGACTAGATTTCAAACGGCCAAACTGTACGCGCCGAAGAGAGCGTGCCCCGCCGCTTCACCCTGCACCCCAGACGCCTCAGGGCCGCGGCTGCCAAGAGAAACTACCTTTCAGGCCTCCGCGGCCTCTCCTACGCCGGCAGCGCCCGGGCGGGGATTTGGGGGTGCCAGGGGGAAAGGATCCAGAAGCTCGGAACCCACCACAACGCTCGGGCGCCATCTTGCGTCTGTTCTTTCGGCCGCCGGGTAGCAGCCCGGAAACTACATTTCCCACCGTGCTTAGCGCGTCCGCGCAGGCGCGAAGGGCCTCTCTCGTTTCCATGGGAACCTCGCCCCCGAGGGTCCCAGCCGCTTGGCTCTGCGGACCGCGTGGCCGTTGCTCCCCTTCAGGTGCCGTCGAGCTAGGACGGGGTCTGCAGACAGTTGAGGGGCAGAGTAGGGGGCTTGAGGGGCGGAAGCCAGGCGGCTCTGCCTCCCGGGACCACCGCTCCCAAATTCTCGGCCTCCGGCCGTCCGCGCGCTCCCGGAGCCTCGGCGTTCTGAGGCGCGGTGGCCCGGGGAGGCCCGGGTTGGCGAGGCCGGTGTCCGCCTCTGGCCCGCGCAGCCCCGCTCGCTTCGCGCCAGCGCCCGGTCCCCGGCCGAGAGCCTGCGCGCCGCCGACAGGTACTCCCGGGGCGCGGGCCGGAATGGTTGGCGCGGCAGGTGGACGTGGACGGGAGCGCGAGCCGGGCGGGTCAGCGAGCGCGCCTGGGGCTGGATCGGGCTCTGCGTGTCACGGATCCGGGACCCGGGGCTCCCAGCTCGGGGCTTCCATCCCCCCTCTGTCAGTGCGGCTCGGGCTGGAATCCTAGGGCACCTTGTGATAGCGTTGCAGAGCGGCCTCTGGCTCTGTGCTGCCTGGGGAACAAGTCCCTTTATCCCTCCGAGCCCATTTCCTCCTCTGTAAAGAGGCTGGAGCAGATGATCTTTATGGTCTCTTCTAGAAGATACGGGATCATTGCCCCCTCGTTGCAGACCGCGTGCAAGAAGAAGGGGAACTGGATGGTTCGAGCTACAGTCTCAGCTCAGAATCTGGAGTCAGAGAAACTTGGGTTTGTGACTTTGGGCAAAGTTATTACATCTCTTGAGCCTCAGTTTTTTCAGTTGCAAAACTGGGGGTAAGGATAGTGCTGCCTCAGGTGTTTGAAGATTAAATGAGATAATTCGTGTAAGTTTTTAACCCCAGGCCTGCGTCTAGTGAGTGTTGTCCCGAGTCCCAGCCAGCCTTTCCGATACTCTAAAAAACATTCCTTAGCTACCTGAGACCTTTTCCTAAATTTTGGAGTCACTTCCTCTATTGATGGGCAAATCCATTCTCTTATGCAGGATGGTTTTATAGGCTGATTCCGCTGGGGAAGCCCGAGTCTTCTTAGCCACGCCTGGATGCTCAAGCTGTGTATCTCCTCCCTTCAGCTGTAGTTTGGGTTATATCATTACCACACAGCATCTAGGGAGGGTGCAAAGCCCAACACCATGCAGTGCAGAAGATCCTTTCCCTTTCTTAAGATTCATAGAGGATGTGAGCACTTACATGCTATGGTGAAGAAACAGCTGAATATTGAATTCTATTTATATAACATTTACATAGGACTGGATACACACACAGTTATAAGGAATACATGAGAATCCTGTGCTACTTGCATTGAGTTCAAACTTTGTATTAATTGGGAAAACCCTTACAAGGAATTTTAAATTAGTGAGAAAATGTATTATTTATTAAGTCTGGGAATTCCCAGTGGCTTCACAAACAAGCCTTCACTCATCCAACAGGCATCTTTATGTGTAAGCTGTATTCTGTGAGTTGTTTTTGACCACCTGTATGTACCTGGTACTGTGTGGGGTAGTCTGAAGGGTACAAAGATGTATAAAATGATCTTCGCCCTCAAGAAAAGTCTGTAGGCGTGCCTGGGTGGCTTAGTGGTTAAGTGTCTGACTCTTGATCTCAGGGTGGTGCGTTTGAGTCCCTCGTTGGGCTCCACGCTGGGCATGGAGCCTACTTAAAAAAAAAAAAAGTCTATAGAGAAGATCAGTTATGCATACAAAACACATAATGCAGGAGGGAAGTGATGTGTCATGAGATACATCACGGTGTCTGCTGTGCTCATGGAGAGGCAGGAGACCCCACCGGTAAGTGGCTGTGTCATGAGAGCAGTAAGGAGCAGACAGCATTTCAGCCGGGCCCTGGAGGATGTGGACAAGGTGGATGTGCCAAGAAGTAGGGCAAAGTTATTGTGAGCACCCTCCTGGCAGCCTTGAGACATGGGGGGAAATGTCTGGGGCCCTAACTGGATATGAGCTCTTAGAAGGCAGGGACTGGGTTTTGGTCAGTGTTTGGCTCTCAGCATGGCATGTGGATGGCACGTAGGAGTTATTAGTGAAGGAACAAGGGCTATGAGTTTTCTGCAGAGAGGAGCCAAGATGTGGTCATTGTGTTATCCTGAGACTCTTTTATTAAGCTTCCGTGCTGTCTTACAGACACCCTTCTAGGGGAGGAATGTGAATAGGCAGGACTATGGGGCAAGGGCTCTGTTGTTGGTACGTACTGTTTAGTACAGTAACTGGGAGCCGAGTGAATAGGGTCTCGTGAATGGGTAGGAGGGTTTGTGAGCCTCCCTCCCTGGAAGGGAGCTGACAACCACAAGGGGAGGACACTGCAGCACAGGATTATGAAATGGTCTTGAGGCCCAGTGAGGGATATTCCTTTGGGTCTGTCTTGTAGCATTTGTGTCTGTTTTTGGCTCTTCTTTGTCTGTGGCCCACTCCTCCTCAGAGAAATTTCTCTCCCATCTCTGGAAACCATGTCCACCGTGCCAAGGCCTATAGTAGCTGCAAAGGAATGAGGTTGGCTTCAGCAGCGCCATCTTCAGGCTGACTTCTGGGCCCCATCCTTCTAGTCCTGCCCAGGGCTTGACCCTGTGCCAGGAGCTGGCACTGAAGCTGACCAATCCGAACAGCTGTCCAGTGACCCCGGGGAGCGGAGAACTACCTTAGGACCTGGGATGGAGGAGTCCCTTGTGGAGGGCAAAGCAGAGACTATTGAGAGGAGAATGGCTCGAGGACAGGGCAAACTCTCCCCCTGCCTATTTAGACTCCCTTCTGAGATCCTCTATTGCTCACAAAGGGTGAAGTCATCCTCAGAATGAGGAAGCTGGGGAAAGTTTAAGTGGGTTCAACAAAGAAGGGATGGGGCACCAGTGACTGCCGATTTTGTCCCTAGATGTGGGATGGTGCAGGACTTCTGGAGGCCACAGATGCTCCTCCTCCTGAACATGGGACCCAAAGTGAGCTGTTACCTCATCTCCCTGGCAGCCTGTGCTCTCGCCGTGGAGTCCTGTTCTTCCTCTCCATCCTGCCCCTCCAGTTTGCTCCCACTCCACAGGCCGCAGGTAAGTGCCTGCTGGGTGTGCCAGGATTCCTGAGTGGCTAAGTGCCACGTAAAGCTTTAATAACTCTAGAACCTGATGCTCGAGAGGAGGTTACCACAGCTCAGTGCCTGCCACGGAGGCCTACGTCAGCCTACGTCAGGGCCATGCTGGTCCTTTACAATTTACAATGGCCAGCAAGTCTTAACATTATGACTTTCCCTTTTCCACCTGAGCGATCTGAGTTTTTAGGTTATAGACCAAAAAACTAAATGGTGGCATCGAGACCAGTGGTCTTTCCATTGCCTTGGCTGTCACTGAAAGGGTGCCATCTGCCTCCAGGTAAGGCTGTGGTCGTAGGCTAACCTGAAAGTAGGCCTGTACTCCCCTTCCTTCCCATTGCAGCCAGAGTTTCCTACCCATTTTCCTCAGTTTTCCAGCCTGGGCCAGCTGCTCTCTGGTATGAGACATATTTGGCCAGAGGCTGTCACTGCCATGCCCTCACTAGACACTGACTTGTTCCCATGGCAGCATGTCGCAGCAGAGAGCTGGTGCTCCACCCCCTACTCTGCCAGATCTGCCTGCTCCCAGGATCACTGGGACACTGTAGGGGATTCTATGTCTGGGCTGGAAGAGTAAGAATACAAAACTGTTCTCCCATTGGTGGGGAGGCAAGTCAGCAAAGTTTGCCCAGGGAGATTCCCTGGCCTGGGTAGAAATGCCGCACTCCAGCCCATTGGCACACCTGGCAGCCAGCCAGTGAACCTCAGAGGTAAAGATGGAGAGGGAGGCGTCAGAAAGGGGCGCACAGAACAAGCCCAGATGCAAGCAAGGCCCCGTATGCTGGCCTAGCTCAAGTCAGACATAATTGTGGGGGTGGGCGACAGGTTGGGTGAAGGAGGATGCTTCTCAAGGCCAGAGAGACAGAGCTGCTTGTATGTACCCCACAGAATGTACGTGGCCTGGGAAGGCTTGGAACTGGGCGAGCGTGCTTGGGGCAGCAGCCGACTGTCTACCCCAGCAGCACGCATTTCTTGGTTTGATGGACCGACTCCCAACGGCCCAAGGCCTCAGGAGACCTTCATAGCTTGTGGCATCAACTATATTGATAATGTTGTGCACCATAACCACTGTCCATTTCCAGAACTTTTTCATCAAACATCCCATCCCCCCTGGTAACCTCTAGTTTACTTTCTTTCTTTCTTTCTTTCTTTTTTTTTTTTTTTAAAGATTTACTTATTATTTTAGAGAGCGAGAGAGGGAGGGAGTGCCAGTGCGTGGGGGGAGGGGCAGAAGGAAGGGAGAGAGGGAGAGAGAAACAGGTTCCCTGCTGAGCATGCAGCCAAGGACGTGGGGCTTGGAACCAAAGTCAAGAGTCTGACGCTCAACCGACTGAGCCACCCAGGCGCCCCTCTATTCTACTTTCTATCTCCATAAATTTGCTTATCCTAGGTACCTCATGTAAGTAGAATCATTCAGTATTTGTCATTTTGTGTCTGGCTTATATCACTTAGCATAATATCTTCAAGATTCGTCCATGCTTCTAGCAAGTGCCAGAATTTCATTCCTTTTGAAGGCTGAATAACATTCTACTACATGGATAGACCACATTATGTTTAGCCATTCATCTATTGATGGACATGTGGGTTGTTTCCATCTTTTGGTGACTGCGAATGATGCCATGAACATGGGTGTACAAGTATCCGTTTGGGTCCCTGCTTCAGTTCTTTAGGGCATGTGCCTAGAAGCAGGCCTGGGGATCATATGGTAAGTCTATGTTTAACTTTCTGAGGAACTGCCAAACTGTTTTCATAGCGACCAAGAAACTTCACAATGATGCAATATTATTATCTAGATTGCCTACCATAATTACATTTCTCCAAATATCCCTAAATTTTCCATTACAGCTTTTTAAAAAAAAAAAAAGATTCAAGACCCAGTCAGGGATCACAGACTGCTTTTAGTTGTCATGTCTCTTGATTCGTTTTTTTTTTTTTAATATTATATTTATTTATTTGAGAGAGAGAGAGCACAAGCAGGGGGGGGGGCAGAGCAAGAAGCAGACTCCCTGCTGAGCAGGGAGCTGGACACAGGGCTTGATCCCAGGACCCCAGGATCATGACCTGAGCCGAAGGCAGACACTTAACTGATTGAGCTGCCCAGGCACCCCTCTTGATTCTTCTTTAATCTAGAATAGTCCTTCTGCCTGTTTCTTTTTCATGACACTGGCATTTTTGAAGAATCCACCCTGGTTGTCTTATAGGATATTCCCCAATTTGGATTTGTTTGAATGTTTCCTCACAATTAGATTCAGGTGAAACCTATTTGCAAGAATACTTGCAAATGAACAATATGAGCAATATGTTCTTTCTGCTTCATTACTTCAGCCATTTAATGCTGCTTTATCTCATTATTGCTGACGCTGAATTCGAGTGCTGGTTAAGATGCCGTCAGCTAGATCTTTCCATTGTCCTTTTCCCTTCACGGTCATGAACTGTGTGGTAAGTTGAGGCTGTGTGAATATCCTGTCCCCAGCAATCTTGTCAGTCATTGGTTTTAGTATCAAGTAATGATTTTGGCCTAAATTATTTATTTCATTTTGTTTCTTTTAATTATATCATACCTTGTACATCTATTATGTGTTTAACATAATAAGCTATTATTTTTCAGTAAAAGAGAATTTTCTCTTGTCTCCTCTTTTTTTTTTTTTTTTTTGAGAGAGAGAGGGCACGTGTGTTCATGCCAGGTGAGGGGGGATGAGGCTCCACACCCAGCACGGAGCCCATTGCAAGGCTCGATCTCACAACCCTGAGATCATGACTTGAGCTGAAATCAAGAGTTGGATGCTTAAGCCACTGAGCCACCCAGGCGCCCCAAACTCAGCATTTCTTAAAGGAAGACAGTGTTATCCAGACAATGTCCAGCATATAATAAAAAATTATTAGTTATTCAAAGAAGGAGGGAAACGTTATCCATAATCAAGAAAAAAAATCAATGGAAATATACCATGAGATGACAATGATGTTGAAATTAATGTACAAAAACTGTAAACCAGTTACTATAAATATGACTAAAGACTTAAAGGAAAATATGGTGGTCTTTTTTTTTTTAAGATTTTATTTATCTGAGAGAGAGAGCTCATGAGCAGGGGGATAGGGAGGGGGAAGGGGGAGGGATAGGGGGAGGGGGATGGAGGGAGAAGAGGGAGGGCAGAGAGAGAGGGAGAAGCAGACTCCCTGCTAAGCAGGGAGCCTGACATGGAGCTCAATCTCAGGACCCCGAGATCATGACCCGAGCTGAAGGCAGATGCTTAACCAACTGAGCTACCCAGGACCCCTGGAAAATAGGGTGGTCTTAATGGGGAGTCTTAGCAGAGTAATTAAAACTATAACAAAGAACCAAGTAGACTGAAAAATCCATTGGAGGGGCTTAACAGAAGATTGAAGAAGGCTTGGAAGAAGAAAAGGCCATGAGTTTAAGAACAGGTCCGGGGAAATGATCTCATCTGAAAATCAGAGACAAAAGTATTGAATAGAAATTAACAGTGCCCAGTGATCTGTGGGAAAATATCAAGCAGCCTGACATATGTGTCTGGAGTTCCAGAAGGAGAGGAGAGAGAGAATGGGACAGAAAAAAATATTTGAAGAAATAATGATCAAAAACAAAAATCTGAAATTTGGTAAGAAACATTCACTTACAGATTCAAGAAGCTTGGCAAGACACCAACAGGATAAACACAAAGAAAATCACACCTGGAGTGGGCACATCATAGTCAAACTGCTGAAGACCAGACGTAAAGAAAACATTTTGAAAGCAGGTAGGTTACATATCAGGGAATGGTGATGTGGAAGAGCAGAGGACAGAAGACAGTGGGATCGCACCTCTAAAGTGCCGACAAAGAAGAGTTTCAATCTAGAATTCTGTAGCCAATGAAAATACCTTGCACTAGGAGGGAGAAGTAATGACATTTTAAGAAAAATGACAGAGGAGAGAATTTCCTGCTGGCAGGCCTGCACTATGAGAAATGCTAAAGGGCGTTCTTCATGCTGAAAGGAAATTTGGCAACTTGGATCCATAGGAAGGAATGAAGCACCACAGAAATGGTAATATCTGGGTAAATTTAAAAGCATTGCTTTTTTCTTTTCTTAATTTCCATAAAAGACGAATGTCTATTTACAGCAAAAGTAATATTATCATAAGGTACAGTTTATGATATATGTAGGAATAAAATACAACAGCACCAAGAGTGGGAGAGCAAATAAAGTTATATTGTTGTAACATCCTTATATTTGCAAAATGTGAAGAAGTTCAATTAGACTGTGATCAATTAGTGATGCATACTGCAATTTCTTTTTTTTTAAAGATTTTATTTTAGAGAGAGTGAGAAAGCGAGCATACACTCAAGTAGGGAAAGGGGCAGAGAGGGAGGGAAAGAATCTCAAGCAGACTCCCCACTGAGTGGACGCCAGGCTCAATCTCACAACCCTGAGATCATGACTTGAGCCAAAACCAAGAGTCAAACACTTAACCCACTGAGCCACCCAGGCACCTCACATACTATAATTTCTAAGGCAACCATTAAAAAATAATAAAAAGAGGTATAGCTACAAAGCAAAGAAAGGAAGTAAAATATAACATTAATGACATTTAATATACTGACTATTGAATTATAATATGTAAATATAATATTAATTATATTCAGTTCCTCAGAAGAAGGCAGAAAAAGGAGAACTGAGGAACAAAAGAACATATGAGACAAATTTAAAAAATGTAGCAAGATGATAGACTTTTCTACTATTGACATGATATATTGAAATCCTCACCCCCCAGCACCTCAGAATATGACTGTACGGAGATAGAGCCCTTACATAGGTACTAAGTTAAAGTGAGGTCATTAGGCTGGACCCTAATCCTCTTACAAGAAGGGGAGATTTGGGGGCGCCTGGGTGGCTCAGTCGGTTAAGTGTCTGCCTTCGACTAAGGTCATGATCTCGGGGTCCTGGGGTTGAGCCCTGCATCAGGCTCCCTGCTGAGCGGGAGTCTGCTTCTTCCTCTCCCTCTGCCCCTCCCCCCCAACTCATGCGCTCGCTCTCGCTCTCTCAAATAAGTAAATAAAATCTTAAAGAAAAAAAAAGAGAAATGGATACAGACATGTGCAGAAGGAAAACAACGTGAAGACACAGGGAGAAGAACTTGGCTGTCTACAAGCCAAGGAGAGAGGCCTGGAATAGATCCCTTTCTCACAGCCCTCAGAAAGAAGCAATTCTGTCAACACATTGGTCTCAAACTTCTAGCTTCCAAAAGCTGTGAGAAAATAAGTTTCTGTTGTTTAAGCCATGCAGTCTGTGATACTTTGTTATGGGGCTCTAGCAAACTATCACAGACTTAAACCCAACCGTATGAATAATTCCATTAAATGTAAACATTCCAGTTAAAACACAGAGCTCGTCAAGACCCCACTAGATAATATGTAAGAGAGATACAATTTTTCTACAGACACAGAAAGTGAAAGGATGAAAAAGATATACTGGGCACACAGCACAAGAAAGCTGGTACAGCTACATTAATATCAGACCCAGTAAATGTCCAGACAAGGGAAATTAGCAGAGATGAAGACATGCAACTCTCAATCTCAATCCCACACAATGGGATACTATCCACACAATGGGATACTATTCGGCCATAAAAGAATGTAGTTACATGTTATAACATGGATGAACCTTGAAAACCTTATGCTCAGTCAAAGAAGCTGGATACAAAAGGCTACATGTTGTTTGATTCCATTTGTATGAAATGTTCAGAATAGGCAAATCCATAGAGACAGAAAGTAGATTAGTGATTGGCAGGGGGGATTGGAACTGACTGCTAACAGGCTTCTTTCTGGAGTGATGGAAATGTTCTGGAATTAATGGCAGTGGTTGTACAACATAGTGAGTATACTAAAAACACTGATTTGTACCCTTTTAAATGATGAATTTTATGTATTATGTTATATTTCAAAGAGTAAAATAAGACAAGCTTAAAAAAAAGAACAAGTTAAACCCCAAGAAATGAAATAATGAGAGCAGAAATCAGTGAAACAGAAATATGCAAAGAACAGAGAAAGCAAAACCAAAAGTTCATTCTTTGAAAAAAATCAATAAAATTGACAAACCCCTAGCAAGACTGATTAAGAAAAAAAAGGGGGAAAATGCAAATTACCAAGTATTGGGAACAAAAGAGTGAAAAGGGGCAAAGGAGAGTAAGGAAACTTTTGGGGAGATCAAATGTTCTAGATTTTAATTGGGTTGATGATTACATCAGTGCATACATTTACCAAAACTATATGCTTAAAATCTATAAATTCATCTGTAGATGAATTATATTTCAATAAAATGAAAAAATTAAAAAATTCTAGGGCTCCTGGCTGGCTCAGTTCGTAGAGCACACAACTCTTGATCCTCCGGTCGTGAGTTCAAGCCCCACCTTGGGCATAGAGCTTACTTAACAACAACAACAAAAATCTACATACTGTTATCTCCAATTCAAATCTGACATTTGAGGATTTTTCCTCACCTTCCTTCCATATTATATCTCCCTTTTTCCACAGTGCAATCTCTGACTTCCAACATCTATATATTTATTCATTTTTTTTGTATCCTTCATACAAAAACAGCAAAACAGTTTTAGAATTCCTACACCAATACCATTATCAACAACAAACCTATTAAGTAAAGTTCAAGATTTTTTTTTTTGTAGTCTTTAGGAAGCCCATGAACTATATTGAAAATTTATTTGTATTCTTATATTATTTTTTCTGTATGATTATATTATCAATCTGATATACAATTAGGTTCAGTTATTACTATTTGTAGTCAATTTTGAGATTTGAAAAAAGTCTCCTGATATATTTTTGGATTTGTAA